CTCACTTTTTTTAACTCTTGAGCGGAGTATTTCAGTTTTTGTATTCAGGTTTTTTGGCTGCATGGACTAGCTTTTATCGCCATACTTTGATTTATTAAGGAGATTGATAAGTCAGACTTTCTTCTATTATTTCATACAAAACTTATAAACACCAATGTTTACTTTTCAGTAAATTGTAGATGTCAAAGTCAAAAGTCAAAGGCCCCTCCGTGTTTGCTTTCTCTGAAAAACGTAGGCATGGGAAATAGCTTTAGTGGATTAAAATGCAGTGCTGTCAGTAGCTCACTCGTTCGAGGATTACTTAAAGCCGATTCACTGGTGGGTTTATCTTCTTAACATATGACAGTACCAGTTTACCATCGAAATGAATGAACGAGTTTTACAAGGATTCGTTATCTTACTAGCAGGGCCAGACATATCGTTTTGGGCCTTTCGTACTGAATTTTCAGAATTATGCTTAAAAAATTTCCAAAATGCTTTTTTGACGGAATAATCATTGTTCTTAGGCATCTTCGTGTTCCGTATCCGGAATCAGCATATCGGGCATGTGCTGCAGCAAACAAGAATCTGGCGAATTCTCGTGCCGGTCAGCCTGTACCCGGTTTCATGCCTCTGCATCCTGGAGCTCCAGGACCACGGCCAGGCCCCATGTTTGCTCCAAATGCTATGCAAATGGAGAATTCAAGGGCATTTGCGAACCAGCAACAGCAGCAACAACCGCAGCAGCAGCAACAGCATCCTGGAGGTAAAATTAACTTCAGTATGCGCTGAAACAGGATTTAGAACTCTTTCAGCTAGGCTGAGCAAGACATCAATATGGTACCAGCGTCCAGTCCGCATACTATTGGATTATCAAAGAAGCCGAAGAATCCATAATAGATAGGGAGCGGTCCTGGCTTAGCGCAGTCGAATCCACATGAGTATGAACCCAGCACCATTGTATCGGATCGGAGAAACGGTACCATCTGGTGCTGGAGCTAATTTTTGTTAAAACGCTCTGATCTTAGTAAGACTATTTATTTAACTCCATCAAGGCTGAAAAGATAAAATTTATGACGATTCAGAGATACACGTGAGATTAGGGTGTTTTGAATCTTTCGAAATAATCTTTTTGAGTGTTGGAGAAAAAGGGTCTCCCCTTCCGCCCTTTTTTTCTAGGAGGATGGAGACAGTACGAAGGCGAAAAAAGGCACGGACGATAATCACAAGAAGAAGGTATTCAGATAGGAGTTTTAAGTAAAATTTTTCAGCCAAAAATTTCCGATTTATTTGGCTTAATTAATGAGATGTTCCGTGACTACGTATCTAAACCATGATTTTTCCCCGCTAATTTGCAGTTGTAATTTCAAAACGTATTTTTTTTAAATATTTTCTATCTTTGTCAAGTTATTTTAGGTTGCACACCGCCACAAATGATGCCTGCCCCAGCCGGTTATGGAAATTCATGTTATCCACAGCCGTCGGGACCTCAGATGATGGTACCACCAGGTATTTTTCAGTTAATCAGTCAGTGTAAATTATGCCATAATAAGTTGAGACTATAAAAGTAGACGCAAAAAGTTAGGTGAACAGGGAGCCACCGTAGTTAGCTGAAATCATTTTTTGAACAAAAGCCGCTTTCAGTGTTCCCTGAAGGCCTGTTTGCTGGTCAGTTTCGTTTAGCTGCTTTGTAGTCTTCATTATTCTCCAATTATAAATAAAAAATAGTTGGGTTTGAACTTGAAACTACAAACTGGAAATAGAAATAGTTGTTTTCACTGATTTCAGATCTACTGTGTCATTCAACTTGTTGCTTAAATATTAGTTTCTTAGAAGTCTCAGAAGAAGTGCAGTTGAACGATGGGCGACCCAGGAACTGCTGGGCATGTAGTGAGTTAGCGTTATAAAATAATGAGTTTTCATCTGCACCTGCCATTCAAGCAAAAAAAATTTACAAAAAAAAAATTGTCGCTCTTTTTGC